AAAAAAGTTGGGCCCCCTCCCCTAAGAAATCCTGGATCCGCGCCTGAAGATCGTACATGGCAGTTGGATGACTAGAAAACCAAGTTTCAGTGATTCCAATTATTGGGTACTTATCCTGAAAAGTGTCCAAAAACAAGGAAAGCCTGTCAAAATTTGCATTCATGCTACGCACATTAAAGTGCAAAAAGGACGTTTCATTGACAGGACAGTTTTCTAAATGTTCAGAAAATTGTTTTTCAGTAAAATATTTTGAGTCGTGCACTGTAGCTTCAACCTCGTCATTCAACATTTATTCAAATGTGTTGCATTCATATTCAACTCTGCAACAATATTATCATCAGACTGAGTGTACGTGGCTCAATTGAGTAGCATTAACCTGAGGCATCATAACCTTGACTAAAATCTGCACATAGATCTGTGGTTATAAAGAAAGTAACTGGATTTAGCAATAGCACAAAAGGGAAAAAAAGACATACACACAATTGACAGAGATGTTAAAAGCCATCCTTTCCGCATGGTCAAGCATCACGTGTACAAAAATGTGATGTGTTAACATATTTACAAACTTCCTCAAATGAGTAAGGAAAAAAGACTCATTTACAGAGGAAAAAAACTAACAAGTAACAACAAAAAACAAACAAACGTGGGTTGCTATCACTCTGCAGCTATATCCCCCCCTAAACGTCGACTTCTTCCAAGATAGGTAAAAAGTACCCGTAAGGATTTCCCGAGATCGTCCTTTTAATACCCCCGCCCCCCACCCCCCACCCCCCCCCCCCCTCCCCCTCTGTCCGCCATACGTCCCCATTGATCTACTGAACTGATTACCGAACTGAATAATGCGCGTCCGTGTTTACTGCACCAGTATATGTGTAAAATAAACAACTGCATGGTTCGATGAGTATAAAGTTGCTGGAAAATTGTGTCTGTTGTGACATATTACGTGTGACATGAAAAGTAAAGATGTCTGGATCCATCGAATACCAACCACCAGTCTCCTCCAGAGCACAACAATCTCTACGGCAATGGATAAGAAACCGATGGGGATGCGTGGTGGTCGTCGCGACGGTTCTATTTAATTTCGTGCTGAATGGACTCTTATTTAACTACAACCTACTCTTTGTCGCATTCCAGGAGGAATTTGAACGCAGTGCTACATTGACAGGTATCTCTAACGATTGTTTTATTACATCAACCGAGGGGGGGGGGGGGGGGGGGGGGGGGGGGGGGGGATCATAACAATCATGACGCGTCCCGGCGGTATTTTTTATGTGTGTATTTTGGAGGAAAACCTCCCCCCCCCCCCCACCCTTTGGATTTGTTTTTTTGTTTTTTTAATTAAAGGTAAAGACCAGTATTGGAAACGCACCAATTTCAAAAAATGAAATGGAAGCTCTCATTACCAAGCATGTGAAAGAATATGTTTTGACTAATACATGATGATACAAAATTTGCCGGGAAACCGCCTACTAATTCATATATTTGGTAAATTTGTTTCTCTCATGGTCTGTGAGAGATATAGGGTAGTCCCATATACATCTTTCTGTGTATAGTGCTTGTAACTTTACGAAGAATGGGCCAAATTTCTTATCATTTTGATGATTCCAGAACCTTGCAGATGCTAGATGCTAGATGATCAACCTTTTCTGATCGATTCCACAACGTTTCTTTCACAATGCAATCGCATGACCATAACTGGTCTTTACCTTTAAATAAAAAAAATAATACAAAAAAAAAATTGTACCAATGGCAGACCTAAAAAAGGTGACCTTACCCCCCCCCCCCCCCCACGGAGCAAAATGTAAAATTTTCAAATTTCGAGACCAAAAAAAAAAAGTGTCCTCTTACCCCCCCCCCCCCCCCCCCCCCCCCCCCCCCCCCCCCCCCCACAAAAAAAGAGTGCTTTTACAATATTCGGCGAAAGAGAATCCGAACTTTTGGCTTCCTAACTAAATTGCTCAACAATATATTCCCCTGGGTTTTAGATGTTGAGCATCAATTTAGTGAATAGAAAACCGTTTAGAATGCGAAATTCGATTGAACTTCTCTCACGCTCACTTTCCTCCGAGAAATGCATACAAAATTCTTTTTCGAGGGTTGGCAATGAAAATATAATAAACAGTAGAAACAGACCCTAAATAAAGATATAAACGGCTTGGTCGGTTTGTTTTGAAGCATTATACCAAAGACCTGGACAGCTTTATCTTTATTATCCATATAAATACGTCTATAATCACTATCAGATAGAAGATAATACAAATACGAAATGCAAAGCAACGTCTAGACATAGTCGAATCTCAACTTTATTTTTCGTATTCTTCTTTTACATTCCGAAGCGTTGTATGGGATCTTAAAGGTAAAGACCAGTATTGGAAACGCACCAATTTCAAAAATGAAATGGAAGCTCTCATTACCAAGCATGTGAAAGAATATGTTTTGACTAATACATGATGATACAAAATTTGCCGGGAAACCGCCTACTAATTCATATATTTGGTAAATTTGTTTCTCTCATGGTCTGTGAGAGATATAGGGTAGTCCCATATACATCTTTCTGTGTATAGTGCTTGTAACTTTACGAAGAATGGGCCAAATTTCTTATCATTTTGATGATTCCAGAACCTTGCAGATGCTAGATGCTAGATGATCAACCTTTTCTGATCGATTCCACAACGTTTCTTTCACAATGCAATCGCATGACCATAACTGGTCTTTACCTTTAATCCTGTTTTTTCTACATACACCAATGCCCCCATTTAAAGGGAGAGTTGAGTTCTATTTCAGAGGGCGCTTCACATAATATTTTTTGTGAGATAATGAAAAACTGAGTGTCAAATTTGAAAGAACATACAATTTAAATGACAAAATCATCTTTGTTTGATCAAAATCGGTTCAGAAACGGCTGAAATATCCATAAATATAACGATTTCTAATATTTGGTACCACTACAAAATTGCTTACTTGCTTGCTTGCTTAAGTCGGGTCAACTGCCCGAGCTGTGATGCCCTTCCACACATTCCTGTCCAGCATGGCTGCTTTTATCTCTGACAGTTCAAGTCCAGTATCCTTCTTGAGTAGGTCTGTATAGGTAAGATGGGGTCTTCCAGGTTTCTTCTTCCCGTGTTTAGGTTTCCAGAGTAAAAGCTGAGATATTGGTTCATTGATGTTCCTACAGCTGTGGCCTGCAGAACGTAGTCTTCTTTCCCTGATCTTTTCTGATACTTTTGGTAGATTCCCGTACAGCTCCTTATTTGTCATATGCTGGCTCCAGTGCACGTTGAATGCTGTCCTAAGAAGTCTGGTGTAGCAACCAAAATATTATATTTGAAAAAAGCCGTTGAAAAAACGAAATAGCGCCTTCACGTTGTATTTCAGCTACTGCCGATGTTGGCTTTCTCGTCTTGGTTATATTGAGCCCAACCAGCCGGCCCATGTATTGTTATTATTAATTGATTAATTAATTAACGGTCACCGTATTTTTTTGAAATTGGTATGATCGTATTGGCTAAATTTAACACTTTTTGGGGTCTAAAATTACCCTAATAGCAATGTTAGGTCCTCAAAGGGCACTAGAAATGTGATAGATAAGAATACGAGCAATAACCATGCACTTTGAAGGCAATTGCGATCTGAAAACAGAACTCAACTATCCCTTTAAGCATACTTTGAATCTGGTCACGCTTCGAAAAGTTCGTGGCCTAGAATTTTGTTTCTGTTGATGATCAAAATTTGATATTAAAGAAAGCACTCTTTATAGATCAGGGAGAGTGTGAAAAAAGCACACAGTAGGAGCAGTGTAATTTAAATATCAAGGGATATTTTACTTTAAAGAGTCCTTTCATTTCATTTTAGAGATAACCTGTCAGCTCTCTTACGTTGTTATGGTCGACGGGCCCGGTGTGTAAAGTCAATACGGGCCGGATTTTTGTGTATTACGAGCCGGAGTTTGGTGCGTGATATAAGTACCCCTTTGTGAGCAATATGACTTCAAAACGCAATCTTCAATGTATAGTAAGCGTAACTAGAGGATAGTTGTCCACTTGTCAATTTGGGGTTTCCTTTTTGAAGTTTTTCGGCTGATTCGTCGTAAAAACGAACAATGAACCCCTCCCCCTCCCCCCTTCATTGTAAATGGTCTGGCAAGGCCAGGCGCGTACGCAGGGGGGGGGGGGGTAACCCCCCCCTCCCTTGAAAAATACTGCGTACGCCACTGGGCAAGGCCCCAAACTTCTCAACTCGAAACTATTGGAACTATACTGCGACTTTAAACGCTAGTCCTTGTGTGTCGTACATGGGTTGAAATAAAATGAATTTTGCCCAATTACCTTTGGATTTACCAGTTATTATTTTCGGGTGCCGTGGAGCATAGTTTACGCGAGTCACTTTACGAGATAGCTATCGCCAGAGGAGGACTGAATAAACAAAATGTTTCCCTGAACATATTAGCACTGATAATGCACGGCCTTCGACTATAAGGACAAATAATTAGGACAAAAGCGCCAGCATAGGGCGGACAGTATGCCCCTCACCTACCGCTTACCCCCGCCCCTTTACCAACTTCCCTCCTAGTCTTTTACTGGTAGCTCTACCAGTCTGATCAAGAAGTTACTAGTAACTTACTAGTAACTTCTTGGTCTGATATCCCAGAAGCCAATATCTTATCCCCTCCTACTCCTCCTTCTCCTCCTACTCCTACATCCTCTCTCTCTCTCTCTCTCTCTCTCTCTCTCTCTCTCTCTCTCTCTTTCTTTCTCTCTCTCTCTCTCTCTCTCTCTCTCTCTCTCTAGCTCTTCTCTCTTCTCCTCTCTCTCTCTCTATATATATCTTAGAGGTGGTGCTATAGTTCTGATTAAGGAAGAGGCAGAGGGGGGGGGGGGAGGGAGGTTCAGACCAAAATCACCGACATGTTGTCACTCCTAGTTTGCATAATGATACATGATCTTTAATAACTGTTTTGATATGATAAATACTTTGATATCGTTTCTTTATTCCAGGTTGGGTAGGCGCTCTACCTCTCGGTATTTCACTCATGATTGCTCCGTTCGTCAAACTCGCTTCGGAACGCTTCGGCTATAGATCGGTAGCCATCTCCGGCGTCGTCTCGACATCGGCTGGAGTCTTTATGACGTCATTCCTATCTAGTCTCATACCAATGTTTGCTACGTTTGGTGTAATGGCTGGTATAGGGGCAGGACTTTTCACAGTGTGTGCCTTTGATTTAATAGTCCTGTACTTCCCTGAGAGGAATACAATGAGAGCTGTGGCAATAGCTTCTACGGGATCTACAACAGGTATATACTCATTCACTTTTTCAACCCCTTTTAAAGGAAACCAAAACCTTCATACTAAGTTACTTTTATTGTAAAGTTTAAAAGATTTGAATAAAATCAGTGAAAATTTGAACAAAATCGGGCAAGGAATACGAAAGTTAGAGCTTTTTGAAATGACTAGTCACTAGAGGGCGGTATTTAATTTCATGAAATCATCTGTGAACAACTCTCCATTCCTTTTGTACATAAAATTTCACAATTTTGTTGTTTTCTTCGTATTTATTTGTGTTCTTGATCCGACTTCATAACATGTGAAGTAGAATATCATTTTGCATTCTATATCTTGCTTTCAGGGGAGTACATTATCTCAATCACAAGAAAGAAGGAAAAACATGAAATTTGATGTACAAAAGGCATGGAGAGTTGTCCACAGATGATGTCATCAAATTGAATACCGCCCTCGAGTGACTAGTAATTAAAAAAAGCTCTTACTTCCTTATTCCTTGCCCGATTTTGTTCAAGTTTTCACTGATATTTTTCAAATATCTTAAACTTTACAATAAAAGTAACTTAGTATGAAGGTTTTGGTTTCCTTTAACAATTGCAATTTAGAATTTATAAAGGCAAAAATCAATATTAGTATGAGGGACGAGTTGTACAAAATATCAAATAAATTAATATTAGATGAGTCAGGTTGCAATCACCATGGGTGTTTAGGGACTGTACATTAATCATATAAATTTTTTTTTAATGAAATGAATCCAATATTGTGCATTCCTTTTAGCTGTAAAATGAAGTTAATCATACGTTTCTATATTTTATTGTTAAAGTTACGATTGATTGAAGGAGATACGATTAGCAATGGGAGATGTATTCAGTTATAGTCCTAAATGTTGCATGACCATAATACAGTGCTTTCCAAATAATGTGTGATTTATCAAATATGATTGTGATTAAGTTATGATAAAACATCGATAATTCTCGGTTTCGTTTTTTTCTGGGACGCATTATATAATAGAATCTTAACTCACGTAATGACTCTGCTACGACAGTTTAATAGCTAAGCGAGTTATTCGCGAGTGTACTTTTTTGTGCATTCAAGCATGAATACAAAGACACAGGAAACAAAATGTGTGAACATACAAAATGTATTAGCAAAAAACATAAAATTTCCGGTCTGTTATCAAGTGATGAGAACTTTTAAATATTGGTGGTGGTGGTGATGGTTATTTTACCTGACTGCTAAGAAAGCATAAATGCTTGTAAGTAAGCAACCAGACAGCCGACGGCTTTAGGTCCTCTCCGAGGGACCTGGTAATGAGGATTAATGCCTTGCCAAAGGCGCATCGCCTTGGTTTCGAACCCAGGTCACCGGATTACGAGACCACTGCTTTACCGACTGAGCTATCGCGCCTCCTTATATTTATTAAACCGAGATCCATAACTGCTTTTGGTTTTGAAATATAGAGGTATATAGCAATATAACAATAAAGCAAATTTTTGAGCAATTATTGTTTGTCTGTACCACGAAACCCCAACAAAGAGTCACCCGACCTGGTTTTTAAGGCTTGCCTCAATGGAGGAATAATGCAAGGGCCAAACTAATAGAGGATTTAGAACTCAAAATATATTTATCACAATGCTTTGACGGTTTATGGGCTCTTTCTTATTGTTATACATGGAAGGGGGTAGAATAGACCAGCAGCCAATGCCGCATAGGGAACAAGCAAACGTCAATGCAATCTACAGCTTGTACAAAGAAGGGTCTACAAAAAAAATGCAAAATTTTAAAACCCTTCCATTTCTTTGTGCTTCTAACTTGTATTAAGATAGAAAACAATATACTCTGTCAGAAAATATTAAAAAATAAACAAACAAAGAAACAGACAAAAAGATATGACCATGCTGACAAAATGCATATGTTTGTTGAGTGATGGTAAAAATATCAAATCGTGTCAGGCTCTTTTTTTTTAATGTTTATGGGAGATAAGTATATAGACTGGGTCATAAACATGATAAATAGAAGAAAAGAAAATACAACAGTCAAGAGGTCAAACATAGATGGGTGTACAACAAGTTAAATATTAAACATCTCACGTTTCTTTTCGCTTATATATAGAGAACGATATCTCTTCTTTTAGAAAATTAAAAACAAAATCAAAGGAAATACACTTTTTTGATGGCTTACATCTGAAATGAAACCATGCAACACTCAGAAGGTTTGGGGTGCTGTGTGATATATTTAGCTTTGTCTGTTTTTATCATATATATATATATATATATATATAATCACTGGATAAATACTGTACCTGTAGACGCAGTTCTCCATCTCTATTAAAAGAAAACAAACTTCGATTATATATTCACAAACAAATATTGGTAGGGCATGGTATCTTTATATCTATCTTCTAGATAAAGGGTTATTCCAAGTATATCGAAGTAAAACCAAACGTATAATAAAATAATTCTGAGATTTTATGTTTTCAATTATGGACATCACGTTTTCAACGGATGAACTTATGAATATAGGCCAGGGGCGGATCCAGCCGGCGGCAAAAGTTGGGGGGGGGGGGGGCCTGATTTTGGTTGGGTGTTGAGTAATGTTACCATGGTAGTTGCCATTGATGGCAAAGTTACCATCAGTGGTAAGTTTTATGCAACGGGGCATTGGAGCTCAATTATCGTTACCCCGGCTTTAACACGGCTGCCATTGCATCGCTTGTACATTTTACAATTTAAGGGATTAATCCCTGCCGGGTACCTATTCACCTTACCTGACATGAAGTGTATAACAAATGTAGATTAATGTCTTGCCAAAGAACGTTAATGCTGCGACAGGGATTTGAATCCCGTAACTTGTGGTTCACTGTCCAGAGACATAATTCACTGAACCAAAAACGGGCCACGACGCATCTAGAGTCTAGATAATCTTTTAATCATAATAAGCACTTCCAAATTTATTTTGAGCACTGAACATGCTATAAAGGGAAATGAAGAGAAACGTATAGCAAGGTGCAGGCGATTAGTTTGATAGACATTAATCAAATGGTTAGTTTTATTAAAGTATAGTATAAAAAACAAGCCTCGTAATAAAAGCTGATACAGTGGATTCTTGACAGAAGAAAGGACCATTAGGATTATGAAAGGGAGAAGAAAAAATGAGCAAGTTACTATGTTAGCAAAAACTAAGTCAATTTTGCATAATATTCTTTTTCTTATCGGTTGGTTGCGTCTCCTTTATCATCAGTACATTGATAATTTACTTTCCTTCCTTTCTGTGTAGGAATGCTGGCATTCTCACAAATAATGGCTCTCCTCTTAAGAAAGTACGGTTGGCGGATAACGCTACGAGTCATGGGAGGGCTTCTCTTTACTGTCGGTCTTCCAAGCGTCATGACTTACATCGTCCCATCTCGTCTCCATAGCAACAAGGACAATGAGAACGAGGACTGCAAAATGGTACCTAGAGATAAGACATCTTCCACTGCTAAAGCTCCATTACATGAAAATTCCAGGAGACTGCTTGACCAGTCACATGACTCGGCACGTGACGCATCTATAGGAGACCAAGTACAATGTACGTCAGACTCAAAGGCTTATAGAACAGAGGAAGGGCTAGGTGAAGATGTGGACAGTTTACTGGAAGATGGAGAAATTATTAGCGATGATACTGAGGTGGTAGCTGAAATCTCAGATATTGGTGAGATGCCTGTTAGAGGTTCTGAATATACTGAAGATGATCTAGTAAACCCAGACTCGGAAATTGCGTTACTTGATAACAAAGAACAATCTGAATCGCTGATGAACTTCAATGCTCCCTCCCAAACTGCGTCTACTGCATCCAAGATGGATCCACTGATATCCGCATACGAATTTGAGGAGAACATCATCCCTGAGGATCAATCGGTGATGAAGACCGAGTCAGCATTTCAGTTAAATTCGTTGAGTTATAACAATCATGACAATGGGGACACTTACAAGAATCTGTCCATTTTGGAAGATGGTGATAACGTGATGACGAGATCGGAATTAGCTGAGGAGGATCATCAAGATCCTAGGATGCTTTGGAAAATAGGAAGGGCGTTGACCTTTCCTGAGCTGTGGATGGTAGCTATTTCAAACATCCTCAATGGAATAGGAGATTGTTTCTATTATATCAATGTGGTAAGGAAGGAGAGTAAACCTTTATTTTCCAGTGTTCATATTAAACAGTCTCTGATATTTCTATATAGAGTAACTCTATTATTTTATCCCTGTGTAGTGTTATTATTTCAGAGACACCAATGTGTCTTGCATTATAATACCAAACGAAGAAGAAGAAGTTTGATTGCTCTTTTGTGTGAACAAGATACTACACTCCGCATTGAAAGTTGATAAATAAATGATAACGGGAGCATCACAATGAAAACTGAATGAACCAAATTCATTGATTCATCAATTAATTCTTTTAACACAAGGTTTAAACATCAATCATGATTCTTACGGCATAGTTTATGATGAAAATCTCAATAAATACTGTACATAATTATCTTGATTATAAAAGAAAACACGCTATTTTTGTGGAAGGTGACACGGAAAACATGTTTCATTGCGAAAGCAACAATATGCTCTCATGCAGTTGACGCATGTACGCATTACAAGGTGAATCTATATGATGGTGTTTAATTGCAGATCAGCTATTTGATGTCTATCGGGTTTGAGGAAGAGACGGGAGTTCAGTTTGTGTCTTTCACTGCCTTGTCTAGTCTTGTCTGTAAAGTGCTTTTGGTTCTGGTAGGAGAATATGTGCCCTTTCCAAGAATCTTCCTACAGGTCTTCGCTAACTTCATCAGTATCCTCGCCCTGATTGCGTTCATGTTGGTCACGAATGTTGTACCTGTACTCTGTATCGCCATTGGTAATTACAATCAAAGTTAATTACGATCGATTAGTAACATGCAACTAGCTAATTAGGATGCTTCGTGTTACAGATCTCTTCAAGACAGTTGATTCTAATAAATCACTGATAGGGAATATTCCAAACATTTCCCAAGAATATTATCAGAAGATTCACTTCATGATGAAAAACAACCTTTTAGGCTGAGAGAGTGACCGTGTTTAAATAAATAAATGAAATAAAACGTATTGAAGTTCAAGGTTACTGCATACCGAAAGGTATCTGTGTCAGAATGCATGTATCATGAAATAAATAGTAAATAGGTTATAGAAATATATATTTACTCCTAGTCGATTTGGAACTAATTATTGGTATTGATATATTTTACGATCCTGAAAAAAATCATTAGGCCTAAAAAAAAAGATGTTGTATTGCCCTTTGCGACCGACCCAAAAGTCTTGAAACCTACGGTCGGCTTAAAAAAAAAAACGATCGACCGACCCATGTTTTGGCACCTAAAGGGCAATACAACATCTTTTATTAAGGCCTTATCACTAAATTATTTAAACTGAATCATCTTTTCAGCTGCCGGAATGACCATGGCGATATCTAACGTAGTGATATTCAGTCTTGCCCCTGATCTGTTTGGAGCGAAGAAGGCAATAGAGACCTCTGCGGTCTTGTACCTCAGCTACGGCTCGGGGTTTCTTCTTGGATCTCTTGTTGGTAAGAGCCTCCAACAACTTCAAAGCAACGCTATCTCGTCTATCTGTAGCAATGCTCTTTTTAGTGGAATATCTGCCTACCTGTACAATTTATACAGTATCATTACGCCCTAAGGGTGGAATAATATGGTTGGGGATATTATGAAGTGAATTTAATTCGTGCATGTTGCGCTTAAATTCTAATTTGACTTAACACCCGGCAATAAGCAGCAACAAACTTGTGTGAACGAAACGGTTAATTGTGTGTCTCTTCTCGATTTCTCTCTTCCTCTTTGTCAGGTCAAAGCATCGATAAGACAGGTTCCTATACGAGCGCCCTCTTTGCTTTCATTGGTATCTTCGTCACATCAGGAATCCTGCTGTTAATGGCGCCTCTTTATCAACGCCTCTTCGCACCTGAACGGTTTGTAACATTTGACCTACATCGGAGGAAGAGGGAGGCAAGGAGCAAGAATAGAAAATCGGTTAAAGATCAAGGCGAAAATAGAGAGAATTCGGATAAACAGGGATGAATCCTAAATCATTTGTTAAGGACTTGACAGTAACATGAACAGTTTCTTGCCTTGCATTTAGGGTGGTGTATTGTGTGATGAAATTGATTGATTGATTGGATTGAATACTCTTATTTGTCAAGACCTAGGTGCATTAATAATATAGAACTGAGAGAAGAAATATATAACCACAGACTCAACAATAAAAGCTAAAAACGAGCTAATACCAATGTGGTACTTGGATATAAATTTATTTGATAAATGATAATTTATTAATTCTTAAATAAGTGGAAATAGTGCTTTCCACCAAATACCAAGTTAAATACTAAACAAATTAAAATACAACACAACAGAAATATATTCAAATAAATTCTTGTGCCTCGATTTTTGCTCGTAAAATTTGACTGATTATTTCTGAAATTGAAATTGTTTGATAGGCTATGGATAGCCTTTTCCCCCGCCTTAGTTTATTTCTCCCAAGTCCCTTATCTTAACCTCATATTCATGTATAACATTACTTTTGCATAACCGATTACAAATTGCATGTATCTTCTCTCCTTTGTTTTCTCGTATATTTTACTCATAATTATTTTTGAACCCTGCACTGCTCATGCATTTACATTTATTTTCAACAAGCTGTGATATTTTGCATTGTACATGAAAATATTGTATACTAGTTTCTGCCGTAAATCTTTTTCCCATTGTAATATTTAAACAACAGTGTGTATACGAGTTATGTAAATGAACTGTGGTTTATACTCCCTTCTGGTAAATTCGGTTGAAGATGTTTAATAGAGTTATGAACAATCAAATTTAACTGTCATGGCAAACGTCAACAAGTAAAGTATTATTATTTCGAAGAAATTAAGGTTTGTCAATTTTGGATGATCAAACCCGATTAGACTCACCGTATATCAGTGTGCTACGGATATTATGCAAAGTTCATTTCGTCACAAATATGAATAAAAGAATAAAGTTAAGTAAAATTGCTGTCTGTTGTGTGTTAGTCACTGTCTAATGTGCTCATGCCTTCCCCAATGTATGGCAAAAAGGATAAAGAGAGAGAGAGGGGGGGAGAGAGAGAGAGAGAGAGAGAGAGAGAGAGAGGGGGGAGGGAGGGAGAGAAAGAGAGAGAGAACGGCATGGGGTGGGTGGGGGGGGGGGGGCTTAACTGGCTCACCCCCACATATATTAATGTTTCTTCTGGATTTCGTGATTAAGCGCCGTCAATATTGGGCGTCCGCCATACAAGACGTGCACAATAGCCTTTTCAACATTCGAAACAGATAACTCACCTACAGGCACACACTTGCATTTTTCTTCATTTTGTTTTGCTTGTCTTTCAACCCCGGCCCCCGCCCCCACTCAGTGTTATTTAGGGTACGCATATATGCTCGTGCCCTCTTTTTGAAGGCACCCCCTATCTGAGGACTGCCAACATTTCCGAACCCCCCTTTCGCGGGGTTTTCCAGCCTTGGAGACCCCCCTAAATCAGGAAAAATGCTCAATGTACCCCCTAAATTCGGAATAATTTCTCATGAGTCCAAAGAGATGAGAGAAAAAAAGAAAAACACCCCTTTTTAAAGAAATCTCCGGGTGAAAAGTGTACACCCCTTTTCTTACAATTCTCGGGCCGGACTTTGTTGTACGAAAAGTACCCCTTTACCGGACATTTTGGCAACACGCATGCGGTCATTCCGACCTCTGAGTGGGGGGGGGGGGGGGGGGCGGGCTTTCAACTTTTTATTTAGATACTTTCTGAGAAAAAAAATCTTTTAACTGACACAGTCTATTCTGCTATATACTCCTATAACAGCGCCATGTGTTCCCTCTCCCGGCTCAAGCTTATGATAGCCTTTTCAGAGGCGGACCCAGCCCGCCGCGAGGGAGGGCTCTATTTGTTGGCTCAACGGGGGGGGGGGGGGGGGGGGGGGGGGAGGTCACTCTTTTACCCACCCATGTCCATCAACCTCTGAAAATAATGGACCCTGATGGCGTATCGCACCTTTTCTGAAATGCCCATAATGGCGCATGTATCGCACATTTTCCGAAATGGACCCTGATGACGTATCGCACCTTTTCTGAAATGGATCCTAAAGTCGAAACCTGTGATCCTGGAAATGTACTTTTTAAGGTTTATGGCGACGAACACAAAACACTTACTATCTGCAGACTATTCAAGATCCACCCAAAAATTGTTGTTGTTTTTCTTCATAGATATTGCAACAAAGTAAGTTCAGAACAAACTTGACCGGTCACTTGAATGTGAATTCCGTCCTTTGGCTTGGACCCCCCCCCCCCCCCCACACACACACACACACACACACCTACTCACTGTTATTTAGGGTACGCGTATGCTTGTTCACTCCCTTTGAAAGCACTCCCTATGTCAGGACTGCCAGCATTTCTAAACTCCCCTTTCGTGTGCTTTTTGCGGGCTTTTCCTGCCTTGGAGACCCCCCTAAATCTGGAACACTGCTAAATGTACCCCTTATCTATGATATTCAAGTCATTTTATAACCCCCTTTTTGAATTTTCTCACAAGTCCAAAGAGAAAGAGAGAAAAAAAAAACCGTTTTAAATATTTTACAACCCCCTTTTTTAATTTCTCAGGAATCCAGAGAGAGAGAGAGAGAGAGAGAGAAACGCCCCTAAGAAATTTCCGGGTGAAAAGTCAAATACACCCACTTTTTGTTAACGATTCTCGGGCCAGAATTTGAGATGTGGGGGAACACGAATGCGATCCCGCCGAGCCCGAAGTGGGGGGGGGGGGGGGGGGGGGGCTTGGATGGGGAATAGCAAAAACTCTCCTGTACACCACGTACGTACGTACACACCACAAACCAAAGCCACAGACACATGGCATTTTTTTTTTACGTGGTATTTTATTTCCATCATTCACAGGTGCTAATGTTACAAATAAATATTTGATTAACATTCAACAAAGATTGATTTTTTTTTTTTTTTTTTTTTTGCATTCCACAGAGACTTTTATTCATCATGACGATACAAACAAGACAAAAAAAAAAAGCTGTATATCTAGCATAATGTACAACATGAGTAATTAAATTCACAAAAAGCATACACAGCCCATGTGTGCTGGTAGAGCTTGGAACATGGTTGAGTCTTTGGGTTTTCTTGCTATGGCTCCACAAGGAATAACATAACATAAAGTGTTGATTAAGCAAGAGAACCAAAGAGCTTGGTGTTTAATGAAGGCACAAATTTACAAGTGGGAAACAACGAGCTGTTTTGTGCTTGGGACTGGGTGAAAAGAGAAATCAAGTTTGGTGGTGGTGAAGATGATGATAACATTTGGTGTCTTATGCAAGTTATGAATGATGACTACACTCATGAATTTCACCATCTCCATACCACAGTGAAACCTTTTATCTTAATTTTTTTTTTTTAATACAGAAATTTTTTTGAACATAAAACAACCAAAACTTTCTATTGTTTGGAAGATCCTAGGCATTGACACCTACAACCTGAAAGAATGTAGTATTACAATTTCCTTCATATTTACCATTACATTGGTGACTAACAAAGACTTTAAACCAATAATAAAATGGGGAGACAAATTAAAGGAGAAATTCATCCTGATATTACCATAAGTCTGTTTTAATAGAAGCACACAAATTCAAAAATTTCTATTTTTGCCCTGAAGAAAATTTCCAGTCATACACGCACCCTAAATATAATTTCACTGACCTGTTCCTCTCATTTTCTGCTTCTATTAAAACAAACTTAATATCCGGGTGGACTTTCCCTTTAATGAGCTTCCCGGAGAGATCAACCTCTGTGGAAATTAAGTGTGAAATTGATGATTACAATTTATGTTCCGGATCCGACGATCGGAGCTATCGATATCAATATCAGCTGAACTGACTTTTCTTTTCGGTCTCGATCTCCATCCAACTTCCAATCCTAAAGTAACAAAACAAATTCTTACTTCAGACGTTCGTCTATATTTTGAACATTCAATTCGACACCTGTTTCTCGAGTGGTCGTCAGTATATCCACCTCAAACCAGGTAAAGAAATATAAATACCTAAATATTAGTTTTACTATCCTACTCAATAACGCGACAACGGTGTCCCAGCGCCAGCGCCAGCGCGCAGCCCGGTACCAAGTGCTGCAAATCTGAGTTGGGGGGCTCTATCTTGACTGGATATTAATATCATGATATGGTTGTAGACTCTACTTAGGTTGTACTTGTAGCTTGTAATGTATAAGATCCATTTGTTTAATTTATACTAACAACCTAATACTCACCTATACTTATACTAGACGGAAATAATCATCTGATTTGGGTCATTTCTTTAATAAAACTGACATTTGTTGACATTCCCCAATCGGAGGTCTAGACGTTTCAGTGGAACAACCGACGATTAGAGAGACTGAAGTTTTCGGTCTATACTTATAGTATAGGCTACTAGCTAGTCCCTGTCTAGGCCTATGTACCAAGACTATAGAGTAGAGTAGAGTAAAGTCAGTAGACTCGATCTAGATCGACCTAGAGGTCCAGGCCATGGCATTGCCATTACAAAATACAAGGCATTTTTAGGGCCTAGATCTAGGGCCCTAGCCCTAGGGGGTGTGTGATAAAAATTGCAAAAACTACTGACCTAGATCTAAGTTAGACCGAAACCTTCAGAAGTTCAGTCTCTAACATCGATAGTTGTTCCGCTGAAACTACATCATACATGTAGTTCATATTAGATCTACTATTAATTACATGACTCTGGGTAGTGAGCACATTTTCTTTTTTTGGTCCTCGAAAATTTTAAAAATTTGCACCCCCCCCCCTCCCTTGACCTCAAGGTGGGGGGGGGGGGGGGCCAACCCCCAAAAAAGGTAAAAATCATGTGTTTTTACATGATTTTTTTCTCAAGGGGGGGTTTATCTTGCCACTTGTGATGGAGGTCTTAAAATTGCTGAGTTAGAGTAGACTTCAAAGTTCAAGTTCAAGTCAGAGTCTTCATGTGACTCAAATTGTGTGCTAAGTCTAAGTAGACCCTAGGTTACCCAAGTTTATTGTCAGATGAAATTAGATTTCAACAGAAGTAGGGTCTAGATCTTGACTATTTTTATTAAGATCTAGGATATTTTTTGATATCTCCATATACAGAATGGCATGGGCAGGCAACATTGGTGCAGGTGGTGACTTTGGTTCACAGAATACCTGGCCAGATGGTACAACCATTACCAATCATGGCACTGGGTCATCAAAAAGAGCATCAAATCAAGGATACAACACATCATCTAGCACGGGTGGTGACGGCGGCAGGGTAAACCTCAAAGATCTGACAGCACAAGCATCCAATGTGGTAAGTTAAAATCTAACTTAGATATGAAGAGTCCTATTCTTTTTTCTTTATTTTTTCTTTCTTAAAAACAAGACCCCCCCCCCTCCCCCTCCAGAAAAAAAGAGAAAAAATGTCCTAAACCTATTAATTATAGATCTAGCCTCTAGGACTTGTCCAGTTTTGAGGATTGACAATCACATCTTTTATGAGTTTTTTAAAGAATCCCAGATCTGTGCTTTTATTACTTTAATTACTCATCATCTATTTAACTTCGGTAAAATCTTTCGATGCCACTTGTAGGCTATATCATATCCAACAGGCTTATGTTTCTCTGTTGTTGCAGGTTATCATTGGGATTGTAATTGCAAAACAGAAACCAAGACAAGTACAAAGCAAATCAAGTGAGTATAGAAGAGTTTTTTTTTCTTTCTTTTCATTTTCCTAATGGTCATAGAATATTTGAGTACCATTCAATGTTAGCATTGTTTGTCAGTTTTTCAGGTACAAGTTTACCAAGAAATTTTGATTCCTTTCTCCAGACTTTGATTACATATCTACCATCTCCAGTTATATTTTATTATCTTGCCCATGCATTGCAAAGAAATTTCTTGGAAAATCTGTTTTATATTTAAATGATTGTTATCAGCATACAACAGCCAAAATCATATTCATGACACATAACGTACCTGTAAGTTCTGGAGTATTTTGTGGGTCATCAAACTCTATGCCCTGCAGATCATTGTGGGTAAATTTCTATTCATTTTCAAACTGCTTAATTTTACTTTTAGGCTGCCTGCAAGAAGGTTTTTACTTCAATTAACAATACATACCTCTTACAGCCTTCTTGTTAGCAGCCATTAAAATCAATTGATCTACATACATGTAAGTGGACATGATGAGTATGATAAGACTAAAGTAGAATTGGTCAAGATTGAACAAAAAAATTTAAATTTATTATTGTGAATTGAGAAACTTGCCAAGATACTATGCTTTTGAATAAATGTAAATATTTAGTTGTTTTAGTGATGTAAGATGTTTGTTAGCACATAGAGTATTTACTCATATCGTCACTGTTTTCACGAAGTGACGGTAGTGAGGAAAATCGTAACGCAAAGTGAATGCAATTTTTTTTCACTATCGTCACTTCGTGAAAACAGCGATGATATGTTTAACCCTTTGAAGGGAGTAGTAAATATGTCTAACCAAAGCACTTTTACATGTACATGTATTTAGTGCAGGAGCAGAGATTGGAACCCTGATCAGTTGATATGTAACATGCATGAATATTTATCCTTTTGTTATGTTACAATTTTATCACTATGTGAAACCTTTCACTGCTGCAGTAAGAGGTCTCAACTGCTCACCATGTAATTTTGCTTTATTGGTTCATTTTTTAACCCCCCCCCCCCCCAGCCCCCAAAATGTATTTCTACAACTGAAAATGGATTCATGAACTGGAGACTGAAAACTTGTTTAATTAAACTTTGTTGATTGAAACCTTGGTAACACTTTTTGGATGAATGTAATACCGTATACATCACATACATGTATCTGTTTCACTGTAATTAATATCACTCTTTCATTGTTGATTGTCTTTAATCCATGTAGATCCTGGTACTGACCGCTCAGTGTTTGGTTTTACTCTGCGAGACTCTCCTGTTGACTTCATCAATGCATCATGCTGGGGATCTAGTGAACATGTCCTGGCACTCAGCAATAAATTCAGGATTGGCGAGATTGGTAGGCTTAGCTAGAGCCGTCACTGTACTTTCATTGCTTTGGATTTCACAAAATGAAATTGGGGGGCTATATTTTTTCTCTTTGCAACATTTGTTCTTCTTCTTCAATACAACATTTCTTCTTTGACTCTATGCTTGTCCCCAAGAGCATAACTGATATATGAAAATAAAAGCATTTCCAATAAGGTTTCATATTAAGATTTTTTGATGGATTGAAGTATTCGCTGATAAAATTGAATGCATTCCGTTGTTATACTATTTGTAAAACCATGTCATAAATTGCAAACACCAGGCAATTTTTTTTTTGTGTGTGGAACCTATACATTTTCTACTTTGAACTTAATGATATTTTCTTTCTAAAGATTTAAAGTCTGTTCTCTTTGTCTTTTGTAAAGTTGAGATCAAGAATCCACAGGTCCAGACTAAGTCACACAGTGAGATTGAAGAGAGATGTAGACCATGGACTCCAAGGTTAGCATGAGAAATACATCATACCTTTTAAACTGTCAAGTGAGACTGAATCCATACACATGGCATTTCCATCCAGTACATGTTATGTCATAATGATTGAAAAGGGAATCTGTAAAATAGTGTACATTCATTGTGGTTTGGGTAGGAAATGGAGCTGTATCTTTTTGTGAATGTTGTGTTCAAGCAAACTCTCCAGTGTGAAATATCTACATGTAAGTAGTAATACATCAGTATAGATGTGATGAGGAGAGGCATACATATTCTTGGAAAATTACACGTTATCAGGCTCAAGCATCTTTTGTGATAAAGTGTTTACTTAATGTCATTAATACATTAGGGGATAGATTTATACTACGCACTGGACCAAAAGATATACAAAACGAAAAAAAAATCATTTTGGTTTGATAAAAAAAGAGAGGGTTGTACATTGTATGTACTAGGTAGAACAGATTAAATGTTTAATTGTGTAAAAGGTTGCAAGCAATGTATAAAGATAAATCTGCTAAGGGGGTGACTTGTTTGTGTATGTGCATGTCTAACTATGAGGATCACTGTGATTTCTTTTATAGTACAGTGTAGTATGTCAATGTTTCAGTGAAAGCTTTATGTTAAATAAAGTACTATTCATTGGTTACACATACCACAGATACTATAAGAAATGAATAGAGAAGGGAAAGATTATGAATGACAGGAATAACCTTTTGAGAAGGTTTCTGTGTTTACAAACTCAACCAAATGTTTTTTTTCCTAAATCCTTTAATAGCGCCTTCCAGCTGAACGTGAGTGAGCGCTATTCCACATTGAATCTCTATGACGGATGGCATGCAGAGCCCTTTGGTACCTTACAGCACATGCCAATTCGAGAAAGCAGTGATTATTATACTCTAGGTGATGTCTTGGCTAATGGTCGTAATCTTCATGGAGAACACATCAACCTACTTACGCTCGTCAAAAAGGTAGGATTACACTTTCACTAACATGATTATTTCCAAGTTCATACCGTAGACGTGTAGACTTGATTGGATATCTTGTGCACCACAAGGCTGATCTGGGACAAGGTCCATGAATCTGTTTAAAGGCTGTTTAAGGGTAGAAATCAGGTAACTCTGAACACTAATAGGAGAGAAAGAGAGAGACAGAGAGAGCATGATTACTATACTGTTGGTTATTTTTGTTGTTGCTAGTGGTCTCACCTTCATTTCAACTGAATCATACTTGTCATGAAGGCAATGGCTTGAATACATCCTGCTGGTCACATGCTAACATTCATCCATGAAAAAAGATTTTTTTAGATAGTAATGATTCTGTTCTCACTTTAAATACCAACATACTTTGAAAATGAGGGCTATAACTTTTAAATTACCTTTTATTCACTTACAAACATGTACCTGAGTGATATCTTAGGTGTATTCTGACCTAATGTATGAATTGTATACTAATGTATGTATTTTGTCTTCATGTATTGTTGTTTGTGTCTGATGATAATCCGTCCTTGTGGTGTTGTATCAATAAACTTGAATTTGAGTTTGGATCTACTGAAGATGTGAAAACACTCTTGTAGAAACTCACGATCTATATGTCATATGTGTAGTGTACGGTGGATAATGATTAATGTATATTTTTTGTTAACAAGGAGCAGAAAATCAAATATATTTGCTAGTATGAGCACTGACTTTATGTCCTGCGATGCGTTGGTAATTGAGGTTTACCACCATGTTGAAGTCCGTTGTACTTAACTTTCAACTTATTAAGCAAGGGTTAAATGCCTGTACGCAAACTGCATGGTTATTGGGGTTTTATCTGAAATAGATCCAGTGACAACGTCTGCTTTTATGTCTGTAATGAAGAAAAAAAACTACTAGGCTCATTGTATTGATCTACAGGAGATGTGAAACTATTATTATTTTGTTAACACTCACTCACTACTAACATGCTAGTTAGATTTAAAAATACCTAGTCTATGCATCACATTTGTTTTTTGAGTTTTTTTCTTCATCATCCATCTCTCTTTTACTCTGTCTCTATCTCCCTCTCTCTCTCTCTCTCTCTCTCTCTCTCTTCTCTCTCTTTCTTTCTATGTCTATGTCTATCTCTCTCTCTCCATCTTTTTCCCCCTCTACTTCTCTCTCCTTTCTTTTACATATTAGGTTATCCTTTGCAATGCTTTTTTGAAGTACAGAGAGACTGCCATTTAGCAACCTAATATTATTGTATCCATTAAGCCTGTTTCCTTGTCTTTGGAAACCTTTCTCAAAATAGCATCCTTTTGTGTGACTATCTAAGTCTTAGCGCGGTGCACTCAATGAAAATATTTTCTTAACATTTCTCGGCCATTCAGGTTGGTACTCCAAAAGACATTGTAACAAAAGGGGGACGTGAGACAAAGAGATGCGAGGTTTCATTCTTCGATGAAACCTGTTCCTCGTTTTCTATGGTCATGTGAGTAGGAATTTTATTTTTCTTAAAAATGCACTACTTGAAATCCGCATCAGTAATGCTGGTTGATTTGCATGCAACTGCCTTTAGTGTAAATGACTTAAGAATAATTGAAACAAAAAAATATTTGATGTCTTCTGTCTCACATTAATTTTTTTATCTCACTTTTCATCTTTCTCTCTAAATAATGCTCTCTCTCTCTCTCTCTCCCTCCCCTCCTTCCTTCCTTCACTGCCTTCCTCTTATCATCTCTTTCTGTTTATCTTCATCTCTGTTTATCTCTCTTCTTCCTTCCTTCCCCCTTCCTCTCTCTCTCTCTTCTTCCTTCCCCCTCCGTCTCTCTCTTCTCCCTCTCCTTTCCCTCCCCGTCTCCCTCCCCTTTCTCTCTATCTCTCTCCAGCTGGGATGAAGAAGTCATAGACCTGGTGCAGCAGTGGCAAGCCAAGGAGACCGGTAATATCTCAAAATTATTCATATTTCTCTCAAAGTTTTGTCTATATGTTGCTTTTTTGTTATTGATAATTCTATTTTTAACTCTCTTGATACATTACACATATTTGCCACTCTCCTCCCAGGTGGTGTAGATGTTTACCTGGTAGGAAGAATTTACTTGAATGCCAGAGCGTCTTATCAGGGTAGCTCCGCTAATTAATGCCATGGTTATAATAGTACAGAGCTTAGAAAGCTATATAAAGCTGTAAAAATATAAACTATATAAATTGCACCATCATTTTCATTAACTCTTCTGCATTATGTAGTATATATTCCCCCAATGAACTGATAAAACTGGAATGTACTGTATAAATGTACATAACATTACTTGCAGATACTATTTAATTTAAATCATCTTTCATGACCTAATGCTCAATTCATTTTATTTCAATGCAGTGATATTTGCTGTGGATGTTGTAGCTAAATATGATGATTTCAGAAATACGATGGTAGCTAGTGTGGACTCTAAGTCTATCTTCATTATCAATCCTGGTATGTATATCAACTGTATGTCTGTCGATTTTATATTTTAAAACATATGCCCAAAGTTGATCTTTTTATATGTGTGTGAAGAAACATTGTGGATGTTTATTCTTTACTATGAATCTAATTTTAGTACACATTATTTAAACTATTTCTTTTAGTTTGGCAGAAGATGATGTGAAGATATTGAAGAAAGGGTAAATATATTCTCAATTGGATGGGGTAGAAACCCTATTTCAAAAGGTTTCTAATATATGTACATTTTGTCACTTTAATTTGAAGAAAAAAAAATTGTCTTCTAAGTATATTACGTTGATCCCATTTTTATTTAAACATTTTCTATTTTGCAGACACCCGTGAGGCACACTCTCTGTACAAGTTTGGTCAATCATCTACAGCTGATGAGGAGAGTGCAGAAGAAACAAAGGACAGCATTGATTGTAAGAAAGTGTACATACTTTGAAATGCTGACTTTATCTTCCTATTGTTCTGTGAAATCCAAGAAAAAAAATTTCTTTTCATGAATCGAAAATATTTATTTGTACTTATAAGCACCATCTAGTTTCTTTATCTTTTTATTTACTGAATTAATATATTGAAAAATATTTAGACAGGACCACACATGGTCAGCAGAGCAGTTTTTATCATGCTCCTGAATAAGGACATATAGTAAAAAAAAAAAAAAAAAAAAAAAAAATAGAACAAACCAATAGAGAAATTCATTGCTGAACATTACAATGTAAAACAAAAATTACAAAAGCATATTGAAAATAGATAAACAGGAAAACATACAAAGCACTCATCCATAATACAATGATAAAGCCCCGAACAACACTCGTTTATTGAACATACAGTACATACAGAGAGTTTTATAGAATTCTTCGTTGTATTCATAGGATACGATTCCTTATACTCATTTTTAAGATTTTCTGCAAGAAACTTAGTATTTTACTTGAGCAATGTCAAAATCTTCTGTGAATCTACAAGTAGGCATCCTATAGAAGATTGGCCTGTACTTGTTTATCGTTGGCAGCCAATCAGAGCTGTTATAAAATCTTAAACTTCCTTTTCTCCTGCTCTTTTATTCAAGTTCTTTATTTAAGAACCTTCAACATAGTACTTTGACTTTCTTCTATCTATTCCAGTACAAAGCATCCATGATGTGTACATGGTGGACGAGCTGAAAGCTAAGATGTGTGACAAGCAGTCTGTGATGATGCAGTCAGATTATGGCATTGTCTATGCATTCCTATCAGCCTATGATCTCGATGGACCAACCTCCGCAGTCTTGTCTATGAGATGGTGAGATAAGTAGATTATATCAAGGGTTCAGTCACACAAAGACGTAACTCCATATTTTGCCAAAATAAGTTTTTGATATCAAAATGTTCAGAAAAATGTGGGCTTTCCAGGAATCACAAAGACTTAACTCCACCCAACACCCTATTGAAGTCAATGGCTAGCAAAACATAGACTTAGCTCCTTAAGGCCCAGGTGCTCAGTAACACATAAACCACTTTTTCCCAAAAAATGGAGTTACGTCTTTGTGTCACTGACCCCTCAATATATAGCATCACCATCCGCGTCACTGCTAGAGAGGGTCATGTGCTCTTCTTCAGATTCCAATCCCAAATTTTGTTTACAATTCTTTTCTTCAATATCTACTTTAACCTTGCAAACCAATTTTCAAACTAAATATGGCACTTTTTTGCTGTTGTCCAACTTGCTTGTATTGCTTGTGGGAGCCATGTGGTTGCTCTATTAATCATATAATCAGATAATAATCAGATAGTGGTCAGTGAGCTACATATAGTGGAAGTTTGTTTCTTTGTTGGTCAAATAGCAGGAAATTTTATTCCAAGATCCTCCTATTCAACATGTCATTCTAGCAATGCCTAGACTATGAACCCCTTATCATCTCTAAATATTACAGATGCCAACAGAAATGTTCATATCAAATAAGAGAATGTTATTGATTTTATGCTTATTTCCTCAACTATATTTCTACGCAATTGGACTTGGCAAATCTATAATGTTTACCAACTTCTTGGGGCACAGCATTTATAAACATCTTGAGTATATCTTTATTAGTCCTGAAATATTATATGAAAAAAACATTGGATCGAAAGGAATTAACCTAGCTAAAGGAAAGTAAACAATTCTTGCTATCAATAAGTGCTGTGAAGGATGTATGATGGGTTTCGTGAAAGGGATTGCTAGTGAGACCCTGAGGCATGATAAGGATAATGCTAACGCTATCCCCTTGTTCATGCTTCTTACCATGGCTGTAATGTTCCTAGAGCATCTTCCTCTGGGCCTTGTTGAGTGCATGGGCGAGCAACCTTCAATTGTTTTCAAAGGGTTCATTCTAAACTTCATTTGCCTCTAGATATTTTGCACATATGAATGAATTGCATTTATATGAGGGAAGAAATCTTGTTCATTATGACATGTAGTAGCATATCGATTTTTTGATCTGATCAGGGAGCAAAAATCTTCTCTGGATTGGGATGGCGTAAATCCCACATACATTTTACATATCTAGTGCAAGAAAGTTGGGTAGGAGTGCCCCGTTTAGTATGGGATGATTATCTAACAATTCAATGCATTAATGATAACAATACCGGTATCTGTTATTTAGGAGCGCTAAAAACAAATACAACACACTAGTACCATAGTGCTTACAAAATAACAGAATGCGAAGAGAAACATAGAACACATAAATCTGTATATCATATTGAATTACTGAGGGAAGAAGTATGTTTCCAAGGGATCTTTTGAAAGTGGCAAGAAAAGTTAATTCTCTAATGTATATTGTTCAACGTTTTTAGAGATAGCCACTGTAAAATGTTTTTTTGGCAAATTAGAGTCTGGTTTGGTAATAATTAGATAATTTTTATCATTTGTAATTGAGCAAAGGTCACATATCCTTTCAATCTTGATGTTACCTTCCAGTACAAGCTGTCACAAGAGGGTAGATAAGGAGACAGGGACTTGCTTGAACAGTAATTGCTCTGCTGCCATCACTGACCAGTCCCAAGCCATTCTGAACTATGACCTCAGAGTCAATCTATCTGACCTTTCTGGAACTATCAATGGAGTCTATGTTGGAGGATATGTGGCAGAGCAAATCATTGGAAAGTCAGTACGTAAAAATACAAGTTCATATTTTGCAAATTGCTTCATAGAGTAAAGCTAGTAGAACGCTAACTCCAGGAAGCTCCGACGCCGACGCTAAAGTCGGAGCTTCCTGGAGTTAGTAGAGCACCCTCTACTTATCATGTTGTCTATTTGAAGCTGAAGGGCATTATACTCTGTGTTAGAAATAAAGGAGTTAATGCCCTTCTGGCTCCAAACAGACAATTTGTTGTCTCATTGTGTGTTAGATTGTAACATGTGTTCTAAATTGTGAACAAATCATTTTTTGTTGTTAAAAAGTTGTATACTGGTATTGTTCTTACATTTGCATTCGTACTACCTTAGTATGTGAGAAAGATCAAATATTTGTCACTTGTCTTTTGTTATCCGATTGTAAGCAATGCAACCATGTCTGAGAACCATGGACATGTTTTGTGTAAAGCCTTCATCACCTCAGAGGAAGGAATTACAATTTTCTGAATTTTTCCTGATTAACCATCCAGGCAGAGGAATTCTCCAAGTGTTCTGAAGATGAATTGACTGGGATGAAATGGCAGCATCTTCTTGAGCGATGTAAGGTGTACTTTAAGATTCAAGAGAGACCAGGTATCATCAATGGATCATCTTCATTCCTCAAGATCTTACAGTGTGGCAGAGCTGAACCTGATGAGGTACTCAAAAACATCAAAGTCTAGTGTGTGTCTCGCATCAAGTATCTAGAGTAGAAATATGATTTATATGTTTCATTGGTTTACATAATGTGTGTGTATTTTATTTGCATGTAACAGCTAGGGCACTATCTGAACACAATTCAATACATGCTTACAGAGTGAAACTTGCAAATTCAAAAATAAGATCTATATAACCCAATATTTATTCCATTGCTTAGGTGTAGTTACTTATTTATATATCTATTTATACAATACAGTAAAAAAAAAAAATTAAAAAAAAAAAAAGAAAAAAAAAAAAGAAGAAGAAGCTTAATCAAAAGCTTGATCTCATGTCATTTCAAAAAAGCAATATAATTTTTGTTCTCAAAAAAAGGGGAGAAACATGCGTAATTTGACTTATGAATGCAACACAAGCATTATTTGCACTTTTAAAAGAATGCTTTGATTTATCAAACAAAACATGTTTTGAGTTTGTTTATAAGACTAAAAGTTTGTCTTCTGTAAAGTGGAATTTAATTAATGTTTTTGTCCGTATAATAAGAAGATATCGTTGAAGGCCTGATATGGATGTAACAATTTTTTTTTTATAACTGTGCCTTGAAGCATATTAAATAATCTTTCTGTGCATGTGCACATGTGCAGTACACTTTTTTTAATGTAAAAGAGATGTTATATTTTGAAAAGGTGATATGGAATGTAACAAATATGAGTCTGTATATACAACAAAAACAATATATATTGAAACAAGACTTTTATAGAAATCACATGGTGGTCTCTCCAGACTAAATTGTTAGTGCAGGGTGTTTTTTTTATAATTCAAAATGTTTATCTTTGCTGTTTATCTTTTAGTGCACTGTACACATGATTTGCTTGATCAAGTTTAATGTGTTCTGTACAACAGCTCTTGAATGGATGCACTGAAAGCTTCTGCTTGGTAGACAATGAGAAAATACATGAGAAATATGTTTGTTATATCACTAGAGCCTTGTCTGGCAAGAGCCAAAAGTGGATGCATTATTTCTTTTTTAAAGAATAAGAGAAAGTGACACTCTCTCAGAAAACAACTTATATCATAAGAATTAGAGAGGCAGACACTGGAGAAGATGATGGAAAGGTGATGAGATGGAAATAGAAATGGTAAAGAAAAAGAGATAAGAAGAGGAGAATGATATAGGTGTGTGAGAGTAATGTTGATAGCTATGATGTGCACTTCATGCGTACAAACACTGTACCATGATCATGGTTGCGTGAAGAGCTTTAGTTCTGAGTATTTCTTTGACATTAAACAATGTGCTCAACTGAAGCATGAAGACAAACGCATTCAATAGAATAAAATCTCCTTCTCATTCTTTTTAGCCTCATCAAATATTGACTTATAAAACCCCTATTTTTTAAGAAACATGCTCACTGCCTCATGCCTGTATTTAGATAAGACATTAAGTGAAGGGGAAGGCGGGAGCGCAGGGTGTTGAAAGGTGGATGGAATAAATATTCAAAAGAGATTAAACTTGATGAAAGGAATATGTTTTATTTAACTGATAATAGTATGCAGTTGCATGCAAGGTATTGCATGTACATGTATTTGTTTTTATGGCAAGGGAGTTGCCAAATTCTGCAGTATAAGATCTTAAAAGGGTTTCATGATTTCGAGACAACATGGGAGAAACATTTTTTTATTTGGAGCATTACTGATTTTCAACTTCTGTAGCACATGGACAAATAGGATTTATTAAGAAAAATTGCGTTAATGTTGACCCTATTATATCTGCTAGCCCAAATATCATATAGAACCCCTCCTTATTTGAAAAGATAAAGATACCAGGCAAGAAACTAGGAATCAGTATCACTTTGCATGATTGGTCGTTCAGCATAAAGTATATTACTTGTGAATTGTAAAATAAATGTCTCATAAATCATTCAAAATTTGTATATATATATATATATATATTTTGTTATTGAAAGCCTATTTGTTTTCTCTCATCTCAAAACGTTTTATTTCTGTACATACTGTGTGACATTATGGAGCTGTCTGACCTAATTGCTTCATATAATTGACATTGTAGTTACTTGTAATTGCCCACCAAGATTGATTGCCATTTGTGTGTTACGTTTCAATTTGATTGTGTATGTCACCGCACAGTGGGTGGGTGAGCTATGTCTTCAAACCTGACTTGCCTTTAGCGAACCTTGAACATATACCTCATTATAACCAGTTAACGTGAAATATTAAGATGTTTGTATTGGTATATTTTATCTTGCAATAGATCATTTTAAAGATATTTGATTATCAATTGAACTGTATAGATATAAAGAAATCTAAATTGTGTATAGATATAAAGAAATCTAAATTGTGTATAGTATTGCAAATAATATAATTCAGTAATGCCTGTATTTATCTATTCTATTTTTCAAGAGAATCATTTTGTTGATAACATTGAATTATCAACAAATAAGGTTATGGATATGAAACATCCTATATAATAATATATAATGCACAAATCGAGACATGACAAAGTATATATAGGTCTACCTTATTTTACAAGAGAGTATGATTATTTTGATATTTAAATATTAAGGAAAAATAGTTTGCCGGGATGAGAAGAATCGTAAAGCCCGTAAGACAATATTTGCTTGTGAAAATATTCTTCATATTATATGTTCTTTTAAAAAGTCACGCACTCTAGTCGTTACAGAAAGTGCTTTATTGCATATTTATCAGATTAAATGTTGCATATAAACTATATTCTGTCCAATGATATATTTTGTATACAGTGGCATTTTGATATGTATGACTTTACTGCTGTAGTATGCGGTATAGGATGCAACTGATATTTACATCATTTGACATGATTGAGAGTTAATTGTACGATACATGCTGCAGCGACACTTGTGTACGTACCTCATCTATAAATCTTTAATGTGTACGTTGGTTTAACTGAAGAAAGTCTGCTGCTTTACAAAATTAATTATTATGATAAACGATTGCAGCTCGCTCTTGCTTTCTTTCTTTCTTAGACGCGTCCATGCGTTTGCTTCTAGGGCACTAGGAATTACACCCAATGTTAATTAAATAATTGAATATACAGATTGGTAAGGTTGGAATTGATGTTGCAATCATATATACACTGAAATATCTCAGTAAAGAAAGGTGCACAGGAATTTTACGCGAGGAAAATATCCTTGGTGATGATGGGGATGATATTGGTGATGATGATTGCGAAACTAATTATGGAAAACAAGATAACTTTTGCGTAAAATATCACGTTGATAATAGGAACGGTTTGATTTTCATGCATTCTTAGACATGTCCAATTTGCGACATGGAGAGACGTGTTACATGCATGAAAAAGATTTATTTGACCTCTACCAATTTGTAAATTATCTCTCTTTATCTGCCCTATATATATATATATGTATATATATACCCCTTTTCTCTCTCCCTCCCTACCATCCATATCTCTCTTTCTCTTTTTCACTCTCTCTCCCTCTCACCCCTCTGCCTCTCTCTTCCTCTCTATTTCACTCTCTCTCCCTCTCACCCTTCTGCCCCCTCTCTCCCTCTCTCTCCCTCTCTCTCTCTCTCTCTCTCTCTCTCTCTCTCACTCCTCCCGCTCTGTTTTTTCTCTGTCGAATATGTTTTGCGTGAGTGAGAGTTTCGGAATTAAATTATATAGAGAGGAAATCTTACTTCTCTTTTCACAAATTTGGTAGTTGTAATCATGTAGATGGCATACTCGACTGCACGCACATTAGATGCATCTTTCCTGTGCTACAGCGATAATTGTGTCTTCATATCTTACCAGGCTCTTTCGCTTCACCAGGGTGGTATAATAAGAACAAAATTGTTGTTAAAGTCGACAGAGAGAGAGAGAGAGAGAGAGAAAGAGAGAGAGAGAGAGAGAGAGAAAGAGAGAAATAGAGAGGGGGGGGGGGGTAAGAATGAAATTAAATAGTAAATTGTAAGTCGATATAATAGGTTACAAATAGAAAGAGTGAGACAAAAATATAATATGGAGATTATGATAAGCCAAAAGAAGAAAGGAGAAAGAAACAAAAGAACAATAGGGCACTATTATTTTGTGTAGGCCTATTACCTTTAATTGAATTTTGAACTTTATATATCGCAATATAATTGAATCACGATCATTCTACTTACACAACATTACGTTGATATAAGAAGAATATTTAGAAAAGCATACACGAATTTATACCATCATCCAAATACCCATGCAATTCAAACAAGCACACTAGACCTCGGGTTTAATACAAACGATAATAGAATGTTAATAACATTTTATAATCTCAACATGTCCAGTGAAATGTGTTCGCTTATTAGTCAAAAAATAGAAAAGGTTAGGGAATTGTGTTCCTAATCCGGTACTGTTATTGGGTGGACATCTATTGATTAAGGCTTTCATTTCTCTCTCCGTCATCATCGAATCTCTGATTAGCTTTCAAGATGATTGGCAGACCTGTTTATTGAAGTCATTTATTAGATCAGGCTTTCATTTCATACAGTGTGTTGTCGGATCGTTAGAAATTGCATTTTGGTTAATTTTCTTCATGTCAGTCTTAACTATGAAATTAGTTGTCTGATCACGGTCTCTTTTTGTGTTCTTCATGCTGACGAACACAATAACATGACACGCAATCTCACTCGGGGCATTTCTACACGGAATGATGTGTACTTGATTGCTGAGGGTGAATAGAAGAGCGAAGGAGGAGGAAAAACGGTGATTAAGATTTAAAATAAGTAGCGAACACACTAAGAAAAGTAATATTAAAAGCACGGTGTCTGTTGTTTTTATCCACAACAATATAACATAATGTTAATTCCTTGTAAGTTCTTATATCGATTATGGGCTTACCCCCAAGGGCTTCCTTAATTTTGTCCGAATGTTATCTTTTCCACTTTTGTTGAAACGATCCAAAATAATCATGAACAAACAAATGATTGCTCCTGAAGGGGTATTTCGTATCCAATCACAGACTGTTACTGTCATAACTTCTTTAAATAATTTGAGAAAATATGAAAATCATTAAGAAATCATTTTCTTTTCACAATATAAGGTGACGTTTTCCTCGTATACTAGGGCTTGTATTTCACCACGTGAAACCATGCATGATCGTTTAGTATATCTTTATTCGTACAATCGATCTGAGTCGAGGCTGTGAAAAATTCACAAACATGCATTCAGATATCGAAAGAAAAAAAACTAAGATTATTATAT